AGACCATTGCCACGTGTGTGCCCTTCTTTATTGTTGTATTTATTCCCCTACTTAAAATATAAGAGGGTCTGGAGCTGCATTTGTATCCCTGGTTTATGACTCAGTGCTTGTCAGGTAATAAGTGCTTGCCAAATATTTCTTCTGTACTCTCAGCTTCAAAGACTCCGCAATTTCTAACTTCTCAAACTAGCCCCCTTTCCTTAGTTAAGGTTTGTCTTTTTCCCTCTCTTCTATTTCTGTAGACACTTTCTTCCTTGCCAATGGCTTATTTATGACTCTTAAAGCAAATACCTCCCAAATCTATCATTTCCAGGCCTGACCTGCCTTCTGGAGCTCCAGACCCCATGCACATCTCAATCTAGATATCCAATCAGCACCTCCACCTCACCGTATCAACAATAGTTATTTTCCTACGTAAACCTGCTCTACTTTATGCCTTCATTATTTCTGTTAGTTAAACCATGTGTGTCCCATGAGAGAAATCCTTCCTCTTCCCTCTCCCCCACCTCTCAGATTCAGGCAGTCAACAAGTACTACTGGTTCCACAGTAGTGGAAATATCTCTCTTGCTCCTCTTTATTTCCACTGCCACTACTCTGGTTGTGCCATTCCTTTGTTAAGTCTATCACTTTGCAAGCAAAAATCAAATACCTTTGTCTGACATCTGAAACCACTGTACTTTCATGTTTCACCCACCTCCCCCACTCCAGTGCTCTACTGCCTCTATTTTTGCTCAGGTTAATTATCTGGGTGCCTAGAATGTCTTCTCTCCTTCCCTTCCCCTGTTGAATTTCAACCCTGCCTTTAAGACCCTACGTAAATCCTCTCTGAAGTCTCCCTGTTTTTACTCTTCCCCCAAAAAGTCTCCTGTGGATCTCATAGCACTTATTTTTCAACTGTTTGATAAACTATGTAATCTCAAGTTTAATAGTTGAGTGTGTCTTATTACACAAAACTAATTTTCACGAATGCAGCAGCTGTGTCTTAAGTAAGCTTACTTCACAGCCTATACAGATCTCCTCCTCTACCATCTTGCCATCCTTCCTGCCCATATCCCACTTCTCCCTCGGGGGCAAATCCACTCAGTTTTGCAACTCCCTACCTGGGACCAAGCATACCCCACCTGCACTTTCTACCTGTTCTGAGCTCAATAATAAACTTGATACTCTCATTCTACTATTCTTCCTTGAAAATACTTATCAGCTGACTGTCTTTTGCATCCCCTTAGGGATCCCTCTCTCCCAAAATATATGTGTTTAGACCCCTATCAGAATGTGAGCTCCTTGAGGACAGCAACTCTGTTACTTAGAGGAAACTAGGGGTCACAACACTGGATAGAATGCCGGACCTGGAGTCAGACCTACATTTAGATGTGGCTGTATGACCCTGGGCTACACACTGAATCTCTGTCTGCCTCAATTTCCTTATCTGTCCAGTGGGAATAGTAATAGCACCCTCGTCCCCTGGCAGTTGTAAGAAAAAGATAACATTTGTAAAGCACTTTACAAACCTTAAAGGGCTATATAAATGCTAGCTCTTTTTATTACTTTTGTATAAAAATGTTAAAAGTATTCATTCAATTTTGTATCTTCCCCCACATCTAACAGGGCTGAACAAGCAGATATTAAGCACCTGTGTCTACTGGGGATAGTCCCAGTCCTCAAGGAGCTTACATTCTGTTGGACAGTGTTGGCAGGTGACATTCCTGGCACTCCTAGCTTAGCAGGTCAGAAGCATTCATTTAGATTTAACAAAGGAGAGGGATGGGGACTGTCAGTATATCTCGTGTCAGTAAATCAGCCTGATCTGCCTTTGCATTGGGGAAGATGTCCCAGCATTCTTTGTTATTGTCATGTTCAAAGGAAAAGCAATAGCAGGTAAGGTTTCACTAATTTGCCAGCTGCTTATTATTAGTTTTATTGTTACTATTGCTATTGAAGTATAGTGAATAGAGTGCTGAACCCAAAATTAAGAAGACATGGGTTCACATTCTACCTCAGAGACAAACACTGTGTGACCTATGACAAGGTACTTAACCCTCACAGCCTCAATTTCTTAATCTTTAAAATAAGGTTAATAACTGTAATACTTTTTTTCTTGGCTAGGTAGTGGGGTTAAGTCACTTGCCCAGGGTCACACAGCTAGTAAGTGTTATGTGTCTGAGGCCGAATTTGAACTCGGATCCTCTGAACTCTGAGGCCAGAGCTCTATTCACTGTGCCACCTAGCTGCCCTCAATAAATACAACACTTTTACAGGGTTGTTGACTCAGATGAGGTAATATATACAAAGTATACAACAAAGCATGTTGGAAATCAGTGACTAAATTTTACTTAAATATTTTCATTTTACCAGTAAAACATCTTTGAAATTTATTTATGCAATTAAATGCTATACACATCTATTCATTTTTGAAAAATTTCTGAATGTTTGCAGGTTTCTCTTGAAAAGCTGTTTTTCCTTATTTTTAAAGAACATTCTTTTTGAAAATAAAAAAATTGACCTTTATGAGTAAATAGTATCTTAATGAATCATTTGTGTATATTTCCCTTTCAGAATGGACTGTGCTTTAAAATATATATTAATGATATTCATTTAGTCCATGTTGGCTTGTATCTTATGTCCCAACAGCAGTGTTCTACCTAAACTGCACACATGTAGAAGACAAAAATACACCTCCTGACACAGCTCAGACTTATCTGCACAGTGGAAGGTAACACGGTAGACCGTAGGCAATATTGTCAAGTTCATTAAGTTTTTTCTTCATTATTTTCCTTTTCAGAAACTTCCTCTTATTTACCACCTTTCTGCTCCCTCCCTAACCACCTTGTACTAATTTGTATTTATTCTCTTTATTTTATATATACATATATGTGTACTTGTCTGTAGGGTGGAGTACGAGCTCTTTGAGAGTAAGAACTGTTTCATTCGTTGTATGTGTACATAGTAGGCAATAAACACTTGCTGTCTGATTATGAGAAAAGATTTTAGATCATTTGTATTCATTTATTGATTGATTATGCTGTAAAGTGAATGAATTTTAGTCTATCTGTTAGCTTCATAAAGTATTTCCATTTTAAGCCCTTTGGATTATTGGATGAAAGTCTTTGTTCATCGTTAATGGTGTGTCAGGCAACAGGGAGAAAGATTGAAAGAGGTTCGGGGAAAGAGGCCCCTAGAGTCAAACTATTTCTATTTATAAAGTGGGCCCAGCAGGTAAGCTTGATTTTGTCATTTTGTAAGTGGGACACAGGTTGGGGAGAGTGGGAAGAAGGAATAGGGGGACTATTAGAAGGGACAAGGTGGATCTGGAGAAGAATCCATTCCTACCACCACTACCCCAGGAGGCCCTCTGCTTCTTAAGGGAAAATGGGCCAAGGACTAGTCTGACTGCAGCTGCTAGAAACCTATTTCTGGGAGTTTCTAGAAATGGAGGAGAATATTATTATTCATTATCACTGATTTCTTCTAGGTCCTAGAGCCTTTCCTACCCCAACATACATTTACTCCCATTTTCAATTAAAAATATATTTAATGCCTGAATATAGTGATGATCATAATACTTCCACTCCCATCTATTTGCCCCCAAAATAAGCAAATCAGTATTTCTTCAAATACATTTGGTATTTTAGATTCTATTTTATATTATAACATATGCCCCCTCTTCTGACATCCTAAAACAAATCTGCTATTACTCCTTTTAATCTCTGCCTCTAGGAATAAAGTTTGTGACAACCACGTGTGCCATTGAAACATTCTTTTAGTTCTACTAATAGTATTAATACTAAGTGGCACAGTGGATAGAGCGCCAGGCCTGACAATCTTAGTTCAAATCCAGCCTCACGCTAGCTGTGTGACACTGCGCATTGCTTAGCCCAGTTTGCCTTAATTTGCTCATCTCTAAAATGAGCCAGAGAGGGGCAGCTAGGTGGCACAGTGGATAGAGCACTGGCCCTGAAGTCAGGAGGACCTGAGTTCAAATCTGGCCTCAGACCAAACACTTGACATTAGCTGTGTGACCCTGGGCAAGTCACTTAACACCAATTGCCTAAAAAAATAAATAAAATGAGCTAGAGAAGAAACTGTCAGACCACTCCAGTATCTTTGCCAAGAAAATCCCTAAAAGGGTCACAAAGAGTTATATACAACTGAAAAACATTTAAACAACAACAACAGTGAAACTATTTCTGTATAAGCAATACAGGTTCAATGTTTAATGATAGTGTCTGTTAATGTTTGCCTTCCTAGGTATCAGACCTTTTCCTACTACTCAGTCAATCAAAAATCAGACTATCATCTATTAAATACTCTTTTCTAGGAACTTAAATTCTGTACAAATATGAGAAAATGTCGAAAACAAAGGAAAGTGTTAAATAGTGATAGAATTGAGAATGACTGTACCCGTGAGGACCAATCTTGGTTGGCACCATTCCTGAGGGTCACCACTTCCCTTGGATACAGAGTGTCTCAAAAGTTTTCAGCTTCAATTTTTCCAAACTGCACTAAGACTTTTATGGCTCCTGTGGAGTAAAACATTTTTCATATACGTATCACAGCACCTGAGGGATCGGGAAAATTTTAATAAATGACTTGGTGTCACAACTCCAAAAGTTTAGGTATTCCTAATACAGTCAGTCTAACTAATTAAGTGTTGGAACCTGTGGTTTTCCTAACTTGACCATTCATGCTTTGCTAAAGGCCTAATTCAGTACCTCATAATAGTGAGCCAACTTTTTGAAGACAGTACCAGAAGTATTGGCTCTGGTGGGTCTTAGCAAAATAGAACAACTTCAAAATAGAGCTGACAAGAGGCTGTATCTTTTTTACATTGAATTTTTAATTTTTCTCAGTTACATGTAAACAAAAAATTTTAACAATCTTTTTTAACATTTTGAGTTTCAAATTCTCTCCCCTCCTTGAGAAGGCAAGCAATTTTATATAGATTATACTTGTGCAGTCATGCAAAACATTTCCATATTAACCATAATGCAGAAAAAAACACACAAAATAACAGAAAAAAATTTGCTTCAATCTGCATTCAAACTCCACCAATTCTTTCTCTGATGTTCTCTGAGAGCACTTTTCTTCATCTTCCGGAATTGCTTTGGATTGTTGTATTGACAAGAAGAGCTTAGTCATACACAGTTGGTCATCATCACATTGTTGCTGTTACTCTTACCTAAAGTCACACAGGTAGAAAGGGGTAGTAGCACAATTCAAACCCATGGCCTTTGATTCCACATTCAATTCTCTTTTCTCCTACTATACCAAGCAACCTTCACTGGGTTTTTTGTTTGTTTTAGCTAAAGCAACTCAGCGTAGGCGATCTGTTACGGTTAGATAGGACTGTGATCTGGTTTCATAACGCTAATAAAAATGTATCCCTCTCTGCCTCCTACAAATTTTTGCATATATTTCTAGAGGTTTTTCTTTTTTTAATGAAAGTTTTATTAATGTCTCAAAAAAAAGGTTGCTGTTACTGTGCACAGTGTTCTTCTGGTTCTGCTCATTTCACTTTGTATCAGTTTGTGTAAGTTTTCCCAGGTTTTTCTGAAAGTATCCTGCTTGATGGATTTCAGAAAAACCTGAAAAAAAACCTGTACTCAGCCAGTACATGAAAGCAGAAATGAAAGTAAGAAATGCAGAAAGTGAAACTGATCTTCCACATCGAGCCTGAAGGGACCTGTTTTCTCACCCCCTCCTTTTACTTATAAGGAGTGCTCCAAGCTACAGTTTCTGGTGTTACCCGACCCACATTAGATTTTGGAGCCAACTTTTGGCCGAGGATGAAGGGCTTGCAGTGGAAGATTAAAGAGTTCCTTGCTTTGTCTGATAAGCCCTAGAAGATCTTCTGCCCTAGTCCTTCCAGGCTTTGAAGTATGGGCATATTCTTGAGTTTTATCTGAATCAAGTTGGGGTTGGGGGGGAGACAATTGCCCCTGTGCCCTTATAGCCCTCGTGAGCATATCCTGCCCAGACTAGCCTAAGTGTAGGGTGCCTTTTTTTGTTTCCCTGTCCTGTACCAGTTGATTTGCCCAGGTTTAGCCCTGGGGACTCCCTTTATCATATTCATTGGCCCATAAAGTTTCCCACCCCAATCTCCAACTCAGCTCTCCCCCGACGTACAAACACACACAAGCTCAGGTTTTCCTATGGCTCACATGGAGAGTTTCTCCAAAAAAGGTTCTCAGTATACAGTATCCAAAGCTTATGGGGTAGGTAACTTACTCCAACACAAGAAAAAAGCTTTTAATTTTTAAATTTTTTTTTAAGGCAGTTGGGGTTAAGTGACTTGCCCAGGGTCACACAGCTAGTAAGTGTCAAGTGTTTGGTCTGAGACTAGATTTGAACTCAGGCCCTCCTGACTTCAGGGCCGGTGCTCTATCTACTGCACCACTTAGCTGCCCCCAAGAAAAAGCTTTTAAACATTACTCACATGTACATGTTAATAAAACAGGACTCAGTAACTTGATGAGAAAATCTGTAGTTTTCGTAATTTTTCAGTCAATAAGTAAACTTTTAAGTGCCTACTATGTGCCAACCATCATGTAGGGATTCGGAAAAAGGGAGAAGACAGTCCCTGCCCTCAAAGAGCTCACAAATGGACATACACACACACACAAAAAATATCAATGCAATTCATGTGCTTGATAAATAGGAAATAATTAAAAGATGATAGGCACTAGAATTGAGAGGTTGGGGAAAACCTCCAGTAGAAGATGGGATTTTAGTTGGGGTTTAAGGGAAGCCAATAGGTAAAGATGAGAGAACTCTATTCCATGCTTGGGGTTCAGCCTGAGGAAACATGCAGGGAGAAGAGATTTAATACCTCGTTCTGGAGGCCTGTGTTACTGGGTGGAAGTATGTGTTGGAAGGTAAGGTGTGAAAAACTGGAGAGGTAGGAGAGAGCTGGATTACAAAGGGCTTTGAATGCTAAACAGGATTTTGTATTTGGTCCTGGGGACAGCAGGGAACTACTGGAGTTTATTAAGTGGGGGAGGGATGTGACATAGTCAGGCCTGCACTTCCGGAAAATCACTTTGGTGGCTGAATGGAGGATGGATTCGACTAATTGTTTGGCCTTCATTTTTCAAAGAGAACCAATGATGTCAGTGATAACTTGCTTGGGAACTAGATTTAAGTAAGGTGCTGTTGCACAAAGGCATCAGCCTCACCCTCCTCCTGAGTCATCAAAGTCCAGTGTCAGGACAGCTGGTGACAGCTCAGGATGAAGTGGATGACTGGTGTCTTCTATGCCTGACCAAGCTCTGAGTGCTCCACTGGGCCTGCTTCATGGCTGTCAGAACAAATGATTCTCATCCCATCCCATTCCACCAGGGAAAGTTCACATGCTTGAGGTAGACATCCCCTAATTCATCAGTGGGTTTGAGGGCTATTGGCTACCCTCAGCTTGGTTTAGTCCATCTCAGAGGTTTACTGGGATGTGGCCACTGTGCATGCTACAGCATCTTGGAGCCTCAGGTGAGAGTTGGGTGAAGGAGGACAACAGAGGGGGATGAGCAGTCCTGAAAAGGGCTCAACAAGCCTATATACCAGAGATGCTGGTCCTCCCTGAGCACCTCACTTGCCATCTCCATGGGAGAGCCTAGAGGCTGGCATACTGTTTCAGTAGTCCAGGCCTGAAATGACAAAGGCTGCATGAGAGTGGTGGCAGCAGCAGAAGAGAGTTGGTGGCATATCTGAGAGATGTTGCAAAGTTGAAATCAACAGATGGTGAGAGATAGTGAGGAATCCTGGATGACTCCTAGGCTTAGAGACTGGGAAGATGGTGTTGCCCTCTACAGTAACAGGGAAGGTAGAAGAGGAGGGAGAGTTGAGGGGAAAAGAGAATGAATTCTGTTTTGCTTATAGTGAGCTTAAGATGTCTGCCAAAGCAACTAGGTGGCGCAGTGGATAAAGCACCAGCCCTGAAGTCAGGAGGACCTGAGTTCAAATTTGGCCTCAGACACATAATACTCACTAGTGGTGTGACCCTGGACAAGTCACTTCACCTCATTGCCTAGCCAAAAACAAAAAAACAAGATGTCTGCCTAATATTCAGTTTGAGATGTCTGAAAGGCAGTTGAAGGTCAGTAGAGAGATTGGGGCAGGATAGGCAGATTTGAAACTCATAAGCATAGTGATGGTAATTAAATCCATAATCCCATAAATTTAAAAATTTAAAAATTCGCAATAGCTAAAGAAATCGACAAATGAAGTAGCATAGAGGGAGAAGAGAAGAGGTCCCAGGACAGAAGCCTGAAGGACATCTACAGTTAGATGGGTAATTCTGGAGGAGGATATCCAGCAAAGGAGACAAGGAAGGAGCAATGTGATAGGTAAGAGGAAAGTGCTATCCCTAAAACTTTGAGAGAAGAGAATATCAAGGATGAGAAGATGATCAGCAGGGTCAAAGGCTGTAGAAAGAACAAGGAGAATGAGGATTGAGAAAAGGCTGCTGGAAGAGATCATTAGTGACTTTGGAGAGAGGAGTTTCAGTGGAATGGTAAGATTGGAAGCCAGATTGTAAGGGATTAAGAAGTGAGAGGAAAGTGGAAACACCCATTGTAACCAGCCTTTTCAAGGAATTTAGCCACAAAGAACAAAAAAGATATGACAATAGCCGAGATGGAAGGATTAAATGAGGGTTTTGTTTTTTGGTTTTTGGTTTGTTGTTTTTTTTTTCAGGATGAGGGAGACAGAGTCATATGTATATCTGAGCTGGTAAGTCAGGGAAAGGTTGAAAACAAGTGACAGCAGGCAGTTTGATTGAGAAGATGGGATGGAATGGGATCCTTTGAACAAGGAGAGAGGCTGACTTTGGTAAGGAGTAAGACTACATCATGCAAGACGGGTTAAGCAGGAGCTAAACGGTGGCAGAAAGCATATGAGCCATAAGAGGTTGAAAAGACGGAGGCAAGGTTCTTGGGTGCAGGAGGGGAAGTCATGGGAGGGTTGAGGAAGGATGAAAAGGTTTGGAGGAACTACTATATACAGTGAGATAGCGAGGTGATAAGGCATCTATAGAAAGACTGAGTAGCATCACTGAGGGCCCAGTTGAGGTGTAACATGAAGTTGTAGTGGACCCAGTCAGAACAGTTGAATGATTTTCTCCGCCTTTGTTCAGCAGCATGTGGTTAGGAGTGATGCAAGGTTGAGGCTTTGAAGGACATAATTGGTGAGGGTTTCGAGAGAAGACAGTGTAGAGTTGAATTGGTTCAAGAGTTCAAGATGAGAGAAAGAGGAGAAATGAGTAGGAGAGAATTGAGGGCTCAAGGGATTGGAGATCATGGTATCATTGAAGAGTAGAAATTTGAAAGGCTGAGGGAATGGTGAAAAGCCAGTAGATTGTGGTTGGATAAGGGGATTTCAGAATTCTTGAATATGGTATATTTCTATGTGATTGCAAGATAAAGGGTATGACCATCTTTGTGTGTGGCTGAGGTGGGGCAGGGAGTAGCTCATGGTTGATGAGTAAATTGAGGAAACTGAGTACTTTGGGTGCTTGAAGGAGAGTCACCCACTGCAAAGGGTATAGTCCAGTGCCTCAATGCTGACCCCAGATTCTTTTTTTCAAACTAAGCCTTCCTATCTAGCCTTGGCTGAATGTGCAGTTTCCACTCACAGGCCTCAGCTTTCCTCATAGAAGTTGCTCCATAGCCCCAGTGACCTGGGCTGGTTTGCCCCTCCATAGGCAGCTTTGTGCCTCATTCCTGGAGTTTGTCACGTTGGTGCCAGGTGTCCTGAAGACATCTCATTGGCTTTCAGCCCTACTGTAGCCCAGAACTCCTACACTCAAATAATCCAACAACCTTGGCCATTCCAATATCAGGGACTGCAGGTGTGCACCACCATACTTGTTGACCCTAGTTACTTGAAGGTTGTAGCAGGAGATAAACAAGCTTTGACAGATCCTACTAAGGTAGAAGGGTTCCAAGTATGGGTAAAAAGGATAAAAGATGAAAACAAAATGGGAGGGGGGAAATGTGAGAGGTGAGAGTGCTATACAAAGAGCCAACTGATTAAAAAGTTTTATGAGTTTTTTAATGTTATTTTATTACTAGGTTAGCATAATTCTGTTTTTTTCCACATTAGTCAAGGGTTTTTTTTCCTATTAAGAATATTTTCACATTAGTCTTGATGTAAAGAAAAATTAGATCCAATAGGAAGAACCACGAA